TATTTAATTTAAATAAATATTTATTAAATAATAACAAAAATAAAAAGTGCCATTATTTTTGTCCCATACTGTATATACTAAACTGAGTTCCTGACCTCGGTACATTATTACGCGTGATTTTAACGAGTAATACAATATATTTATGAAATGAACGTCGCCGAAAGTGGAGCGTCAATATATAAAAAAAATTGCGAATATATCCCTTTTGCATGATATGAATAAAAAATTTTTAAATATTTATTTCTTAAAGTAGCATCATATTCTTTATAAAAATATTTAATCATTTTCTTTTTCCTTTACGCATAACAATAAGATAATCCCGAAGTTGTCTATCAGATTTATTTCTAAACGTTATAGGTAAACCATAACAACCAAGCAGCCATTTTTCAAGCGATTGTTCGTAAATCATCTGCGAAATAGGACACTCTTGTCTGGATTGATGACTCGCACCGAATCTATCCAAAACTTTGTTCATTGTACGATTTTCTTTTATTACATCATGAGTATCAAAGCAGTTTTATATTTCGCCGATTTTTCCAAATAATGATCATTTACCGCTTCGTCATCAGCCCATCAATTATGCCACACATGGTTCGATTACGAGTGATTGATACACGTAATAATTTATACAGTAGCTGAATTTATTGATCTACGAAAAAATCTATTTAAACAGTTGGCCAATTAATGTAAGTACATCTTTTATCTGAAAATCTTGTCCTAGACAAGATCATAAAGTAGCTATGTTACGCTTTCACATTTATTTCAGTTGAATTCTTGGGTTCCGTCTGGTTAGCCACGAAGTGGCTGCTTTCAGCAAAAATTTGTATGAATTGATTATGAGATCATCTAGCCATGCAGTATTAAAACCACTTTCTATTATACCACGACGTAATAGTTCTTCACCAATCAGCCTCTCCCGATCTGTTAAAAATTTACGATATTTTCTAGGATCTCTACTTTCTGTTGCACCACGGTAAAAGCGCATATCTCTTTCCAATTCTCCACGAAAACACTTCATGGTTCATCTATCTTTCTCCGCCTCAGTAGGGATTAAAAATTCTTTAAGATTCGTTCCATGTTCAATGGCATACTGATAAAGGCAGTTTATTTGGTGCCATTACCTGAGCTTCCGGCAAACTATCCTGTAGAGGCAAAACCTCAGCTGACTCACGCCATTGCTCTACAATAAGATATAATTATTATAAAAAAAGATCAAATAATATATAATGATCAAATATATTAATACTTTTCTAAATTTTAATAAAAAAAATTTAAAATTATATTTGAATAATGATTATATAGTATTATGAGAAAAATAACAATCAATAATAAGGCTTAAATTTTACAAAATGCTAATTGCACATTACAAAGATTACTTAAAAGAGTAATAAACCCTCAACTTTGTTATTTTTATTATTTCTTTTATTTCTTTTATTTTTTAAATTTCTTTTATTTTCTTTATCTTTTTTCAATTAACTATTTTATTATTATTATTATTTTTTTTTTTTTGCTATAAGAAAGTATAAAATAATATAATTAAATATATAAAAAGAAAGAAAAAAAAAGATAGTAAAAAAAAGTGTTTATTAAATAAAATTATCATATTCATTGCACTATTTCTAGTCAATAAAATCTCTTGAATCATCTAAACTTATTAAATCCATATCTTTTTTCTACCTTTTACCTTTTCTGTTAAAATCAAAACCTTCTGCTACAAATGCTACAAGATTAAGAATTGTGCCATGACTTTTTTGTCCTTTAACTCATAACAATAGATATTTTAATACAATAAAAAATTTTGCAAAAATTTAAATTTTAACATTATTTTATTTTAGATTAAATATTTATTATATTATATTATATATATACCTATTTTTTTTTTGAGCATAAAAGGGCATTAGATGCAAGTCTTTATTAAATTGTTATATATAATACATGAGTTACATCAAACATCTTCACAAAATAACTCTATGAATTAATGTTAACCTATCTATGATGCTAACTAAAGCGATTCTCCTTACACTTAATGTAAATTGGATTAGCGTTAGTGCTGGATGATTAATGCCCTTCCAGAATTAAAGTAAGGTCTTGAGACTTTAGTATACTTTTTTGAACGATTTGTTGGGAATTGGAATATATAATATCTTTGTTCAATAAATCTGGTTGTGCTTCGAATAATTCTTTTGATTTGGTAGTTGTTGATTTCAGAGTAGATTTTTTTCACTTGATACCTGATACTATTGAGGTATTAGATATTGCAGATCTGGGTAGCCATACTAGTGTGTATAAAAGTTTAAGAGCAGAGTTTATTAGTTTGGTCCATGTCTTTTTTGAGAGCTGGATTCTGAGAGTTGTTAATTCATATGCTAGGCCTTCAAGGTTTGACTTTCTGTTAATAGTTAGAGTTTGTAAGTGGCAAGTTGAGTCTGCTGCTGTTGTTTTGGCTTTGCTCATTAATGCAAGTTTTTTGATTTTGGCTATGATTTTGTTTTCTATTTCGCTATATGCTGCTGTATTCTTGTAGCATTTGAACACGTGTCTTTGTGTCTCGGGTGTAACCAGGCATCTGGAGCAAAGGTTGTCTTTGTACAGTTTTGAGTATCTCTCATGTAGAATTTGTTTTGTAGGAAGAGTACCACTAAGTATTTTGCATCTAAAAGTAAGTAAGGATGAGCAGTTGAGTTTGTCCTTTTTTATAAGAAATTTGTTGCCTGTAAGGAGTAATTGAAGAGATTCTATGTCAAATGTTTGGTTCCATCT